ATCTTTTGCTCCACTTTCTTTTGCATGTCGTTCAGAGTTAGAAAGCACAGTGATGATGATGCTCCTTGTCTTCTTTATTCTATCTTCTCAGCTCACATACATAAAGTGCAACATTGAAAAAGCAAATTCCTTTCCACTCACTACAATCAAAGAATTTTAATTAAGTACGGCGATGGAAGAGTCACTAGGACTGACACTGAACAGAGTCAGAGGAGTGAGTAGCGGAGGAGCATAGCTGTTATCTCCGACGCATAATAGCCCTGAGTCCGCCGTTCCGCCACAGCTTCTTCATTCTTCCCAAATAAGGTTTTGTTGAAATCTAATCAAACACTGATAGCCAAAAAAAAAAAAAAAACTGAATTCTTTCATTTATCTTTTTATCATATGGGATCATACCAAATGTTTATTAATTTGGATACAGAAAAAGGGAATTTTAATCAGAGGTTAATAGGAAGAATCAAATACCTAAAATGGCCAATGCTGAAGAAGGGAAGGTAATGACAGCAGATGTCACCTCTGGGGAAATGCTTTATGAGCCTATCTTGGAGGAGGGGGTTTTCCGGTTTGACTGCTCTGTTGGTGATAGAAATGCAGCATTTCCCAGTTTATCATTCACAAATAGCAAGTTAAGGGACACACCAATCATGGTTCACAAGGTTCCTTCGTATATCCCAACTTTTCAATGCCTTCTTGGACAGCAGACCGTCAAACTTGAGGTTGGTTAATAGTTACTCGTATTTGCATCTTCTGCTAGTTGTAAAAATTTTGTTCCTTGATTGACATGGTGGACTTTGTGCTTGATTTAGTTTCCAGTTGGTACATCGTTTTATGGAACTGGAGAAGTTACTGGGCAGTTAGAGCGCACAGGAAAGAGAGTGAGTTATTTTGTTGGATTTGCCTTCCAAAAAGTTGATTTCCCCAATTTTCTTATTGATGATAATCTTTTTTCCTTTTTCCTCTTCTTCTTTGTAGGTTTTTACTTGGAATTCAGCTGCTGGGGATTATAGACCTGAAACTACATCCTTGTACCAATCTCACCCATGGGTGCTATCTGTTCTTCCAAATGGAGGGGCACTTGGGGTTCTTGCTGACACAACAAGGCGCTGTGAGGTGTAGTCACTTCTGTCTTTTTTGTAAAACAAAAACCATTGTGGATTTAGATAATTATTATCTGTTTTTAACAGTCCGTCAAATCTGTGATATGGCAGATTGATCTGAGGACTGAATGTAGAATGCAGTTTACTGCTCCGGCTTCATTTCCTGTCATTACATTTGGGCTTTTCCCTTCACCAATTGATGTTTTGATATCTTTATCTCATGCAATTGGTAATGATCTATACAATTTTCTTTTTCATCTCAAATGCCATTTACCCCCTTCTAGAATATATTTTTGCCATTTTCCATGCATTAGCATCATTTTTCAGATTTCTTTAGTTCTTTAAATGTGAAAGTTCTATAGATACAGTTTTCTTTTCATAGCAAGTGTTATCAAATCTGAAAACAAAGCTAGTAATACATCTTAATGGTTTTTCATTGTTATCCTTCTGATAGTGATTTTGTTCAAATTATCCATAATCTCTCCTTAGGAACTATTTTTATGCCTCCAAAATGGTCCTTGGGCTATCACCAATGTCGTTGGAGCTATATGTCAGATAAGAGAGTTAAAGAGGTTGGTGCTATTTATCCATTTCAGACGCTTTCAGTTCCAAAATCTTATCTACCCCATGAATAAAAGAGTTGCTTTGTTTCTGAAAGTTACATGTCATGGTTTTTTGATTACTGACCAATATTGCAGATTGCCACAACATTTCGGGAGAAGGGTATACCTTGTGATGTGATATGGATGGACATTGACTACATGGATGGCTTTCGATGTTTCACTTTTGATAAGGCAAGTTCCTTCCTAGTTGATTTCAATGAATTTTTAATTGCTTGACTGGACTAAGGCATTTAGGAAAGTCTAATCACATGAGATTGTGATGGTTTAAACTATGAGAAAATGATATTTTGATGTTTGTGAATAATGTCCATAGTGATTCTATGATTCTTCAAATGAGGGTGGAACAATAATCTCTTTTAATTTCACACTAGATGGAGCAATAACTGATTGCATTGCACATTTTCAAGGTCAAGTCTTGAAAAGTTGAAAATTATGTAAAATTTTAAGAAGTTTGGTTTACATATCCTGATTATTCCTCTTGTTTATTCTTCTTTATCATGCTAAGCATTTAGTTAGAGGCATCCTAATTCAATAATTACATGTACTCTAGGCAGGACTTGGCATGTAACTGGCTATGTACTTTGTTAAATTCTATGTTAAAGATTTCTTTCCCTGCTTTGACAAAAGGGTAATCAATCATAATAAAACTCAAAAATCATTATTCTCATTAAATACAGGAGCAATTCCCAGATCCAAAATCTCTGGTGGAAGATCTCCACCATAATGGCTTCAAAGCTGTTTGGATGCTTGACCCAGGGATTAAACATGAAGAGGGTTATTTTGTCTATGATAGTGGATCAAAAAATGACGTATGGATCCAAAAAGCAGATGGAACACCTTTTGTTGGTACATTTCTTTTCCTATCTGCATTTTGAGATTAATTTCTATTTTTCTGATTTTTTTGAAGTTTTTCATCTTCAGGGGAAGTGTGGCCTGGGCCTTGTGTTTTCCCTGATTTTACTCAATCAAAAGTGTGTTCTTGGTGGGCAAATTTAGTTAAAGATTTTATTTCTAATGGAGTTGATGGTCTATGGAATGATATGAATGAGCCTACCCTATTTAAGGTTATTTTAAATATCATGTCATGATGCTTGCAACTTTTTTTTTTTTTCCCATGAATGGGCTCTTACTTCTCTTTTTCCAGGTTGTAACAAAGACAATGCCTGAGAATAATATTCATAGGGGTGATGACGAAATTGGAGGTTGCCAAACTCATGGGCATTATCACAATGTACTGGTCTTAAAACCTTGTTTTTCTCTTTTTCTATTACCTACTTCCCAAAAGTTATGTGAATGGGATAACATAAACTGTTATATTTCCTTAAAACTGTGGATCCTGGACACTAACCTGATTACCAGACTGGTTTGAATACCTTTGCTTTTGCAGCGAAGTATTTGAATGGCCCATTGATACAATAAGATATTTTGGAATTCAATTTCTTGATATTGGTTACCATATTAGGTTTATGGACAGCTGATGGCAAGATCCACTTTTGAAGGCATGAATTTAGCTGATAAAAAGAAACGGCCTTTTGTTCTCACCAGAGCTGCATTTATTGGCAGCCAAAGATATGCTGCGACATGGACAGGTGATAATTTTTCAAACTGGGAACACCTTCACATGTCCATCTCCATGGTACTTCAATTGGTAAGTCATTTTGTGAGTTTCCATTATGTTCTCTCTGCATGGTGGGGTTGTATTGAATTGTTTTTATTCTTTTCAAATGCTGGCAGATTAACTTGCTGATTTAGTTGCTTGAAAGATAAATTTATTCAACTATTCATGATTGCTGTAAGTTTTCTGCTCTCTTTAATTTTTTTTTTATTTTTTTTATTCAGGGCCTTAGCGGTCAGCCATTTTCGGGACCTGATATTGGTGGGTTTGATGGAAATGCAACACCCAAACTTTTTGGCCGGTGGATGGGATTAGGGGCCATGTTTCCTTTTTGCCGTGGTCACTCTGAAGATAAAAGCCTTGACCATGAGCCCTGGTCCTTTGGTGAAGAGGTTTGTCCTGCCTTGGCAATATGACATGTGATACACAATTTGCAAATTGAATATTGACAAGTAATCAGAATATAATTCTACTAGTAATGAGGATAAGCCTTGTTGTTTTGTGATTCCCTCTTAAGATGAATGACACACAATAAAAAGTGGGTACTCTTACAGAGGTTGTTGTTGGTGCTTTCCTCCTTGTCAAATGCAGAGGGTAATGCATTGTGCAACTATACAAAGAATCATTCAGAACTTTTGTGGAAGGGAAAACTTGAGAAGAAGCAATGACTTCACTGCTCAAAATTTAACAGAAACTAAAACAATTGAGGTTATTAACTACTTGGTAATGTGGTGTAATGCTTCGTTGTAATTTAGAAGATGTTTCCAGTGAATCTTAGTAAGAGTAGGTGCTGTTTATCTCAATGACATAGTTCAAAAGATGGCAGGTCTTCTAACACGTCCATTTAATACTTTTGGCTAAGGTTTTTGATATTGCTCGACATGGTTTTCAAATACAATATCAGATTTTAGCACTATATTTGTAAGGGTTTATGTACCATTTTAAAAGAGGGATGAGAAAAATCTTTGCACCTGAATGAAAAAGTTAGTTTGAACTGATAATGTCTGAAATAACTTATTTTTCTTGTTAACATGCTTGACTCTCAGGTTCTGTATTCCAGACTGCTAACAATTGAATATGAACTAACTTTAGTTTTATTTTTTTAGTGTGAAGAAGTGTGTTGTCTGGCATTGAAGAGGCGATACCGCCTTATACCACACTTGTATACTCTGTTTTATATGGCACATACTAAGGGTACCCCTGTGGCATCCCCTGTCTTCTTTGCTGGTAGGTTTCTCTGGTTCTGATTGTTTTTATGTGTTCAATGAACTCCATTAGATGATGTATATCTCTATTTATGGGAACTGTGGATATCTATTTGCAGATCCAAAAGATCCCAGTTTAAGAACACTTGAAAATTGCTTCCTTTTGGGCCCACTTCTAGTTTCTGCAAGGTTCTCTCTTTCTTACTTCTCATTCCTGTGCATGCAATTTGAATCAATTAGTTGTAGTTTCAAAATAGACTATTGAATTTGTGCTTGGTTTCTTTTCTCTTTAGAATAACTTACCTTTTAAGTGTTCTAGGAGAACTCCTAAATTTATGTCCAAATGTAATTTTCATCATATAATAGTTGATTTCTTCTCTAATAATTTTAATTTTTTTCCCCTCCCTGATTAGCACCACGCCAAATCAGGATTCTGATATGCAGCTCTTGTTGCCTAAAGCACTTTGGTTGAGTTTTGATTTTGATGATTTACATCCGGTATGTGTTGCTAGACATCTTTCTCTGCCTTTTGATACTGTCTATATTAATGAGTTGCTGATATAGTGTTCTTATCTTCTACTCTGTGTTGAATATGTCAGGATTTACCAGCTTTATACTTGCGACGTGGATCAATCATACCTTTGGGTCCACCCATCCAGCATATTGGTGAATCTAATCCATCAGATGACTTAACGCTCCTCATAGCCCTAGATGAGAATGGTAACTTTTTCTGAGTTTGACTTGATACTATTTGAGTCATTCAAAATAACATGCATAATTTCTGTTCTCAGTTATTCTAACTTTTCTTTTTATGAAATGAAACTTGATTTGTTGCTGGATCTTCTTCTTCTTCTTCTTCTTCTTCTTCTTCTTCTCTTGAATATTCAATCTTACCATGTTGTTTAAGGTCTAGATTGGGCTTGAAACTACCATTCTGTTTCTGACATGGAATTGTGTGTGTATATAGGCATAGAAAGTATGTCTTCCTGGGATCAGTTGAACATAAAAAGTATTGTTTTATTTGCACTGGGGCTGCTGATCTATTTAGTTCTGTTTTGGACTTCAACAATATATTCTGCTTCTTGTCTTGTGAATTCATTAAGCAACATCATCTCAGCTGAATGTTCTGGCGAGAATCTGGCTTTTTGGTAATTTAAAGTTTAAATGGTGTTTTCAACTGTGATGGTAGCAGCTGTTTACATTTAGATCTTTTGACATACAGGGAAAGCTGAAGGTGTTCTTTTTGAAGATGATGGTGATGGGTATGGATTCACTGAAGGGGAATATCTTTTGACACACTATATTGCTGAGCTTCAATCTTCAGTGATCACTGTAAGAATATCTAAGACTGAAGGGTTGTGGAAGAGACCAAACCGTCGTCTACACGTTCAGCTGTTAATTGGTGAAGGTGCAATGGTATGTCTTGCTTGCATAAAGGAGCAATATCACGGGTTAGGAAATAAAATACAGCTTGAGCATCTGGTATAAGAAATTTAGTATTTAACTTATAGTTTCCTTCACACAGCTTGACACTTGGGGCATAGATGGCGAGATTATGCAAATTGCAATGCCTTCTGATTTTGAGGTTTCTAAGCTGATAACTACAAGCAAAGAAAATCGCAAGACGCGATTGGGTAATTTAAAAAAAAAAAAATTTTTTTTTGAACAAATTTGAAAGAGGTCAGATTCGTACAGTTGCTTTGCGAGAGAGAAAATGTATTTATACGTGACTTGACGTTATTGGACTGAAGGCTAAGTGCTTTTTTTTTTTTAATTAATTTACAAAAATACATTAATGTTGATTCTGATGAGTCATTTTCTTTATGCATAACGCGTCAAGCATATTCCAGACGTGTAGCCGTCTAGGCTCTATGAGGTTTCAGATGCCACAATGAATTAGATGGAACCATGCTGTTACCTGCCATAACTGCCCAGTTACAGCGCGAAAAATTGAAGAGGAAGCTCCATTACTTGTGAATTTGTTTTTAAAACAAAGAAAATACCATCACAGAAATGTGAATTTGTTGATCCAACTAATCCGATTCAAACATTAAGATTTGAGGTGAACTATTAGACTCATTAATCTAACCATTCTTGTTTTATAATTTTAGTGACTTGCATACATCAAAATAGAGAAATTTTAATTGAACATTCATTAATGAGTATTTCTATTTTTTTAAACAGTTTAAAATTTGGGGTTAAACTTGAGGATTAAGAGAGGGAGATTTTTCAAGCATGAGTAGAACTCAAAATTTTGATCAATTAATCTATAAATGTTCTAAGGTTTGAGACAAATCACTTGCTTCGGACGGGCGAAGGCCGTTCATTAATAAGTATTTCTATTGAATGGTAATTATGGGAAATTTTTATGGAGTGTGGGGCTTTTACGTCATTTGAGCAGATTAGGGGGGCATGGACTTAGATCAAGAAATACCGTAACACGTGTCTCCGATGCTCCGGCCACTTTTTCCGATGGCAGGTGCCAACAACGAAATGGAAAAGATGACGCGATTCGACAAAACTCGATCACACACGCGTCAATCAAGCAGTGATACAGTTCTAGTTCTCTTTCTTCGTCTTTATTTCATGCACAGCTCCCCACGGTGGT